CCCTGCCCCGACTTCCTGCACGACCCGCGCCCCCTGACCCTGCCCAGACTTCCTGCATGGCCCGGCTCCCTCACTGGGACGCAGGCTTCATGAGAGCAGGCACTGGGCTCCAGAGGCCTGTCTGGGGGAGCCTGCCTATCACTCACTAGGCACATGCCCAGCTGGAACGTGGGGCCATAACAGTGCCACCTCATGTACGGGTGCCCCAGGGCTGGCTCTTCCTCCCAGGACACTCTCATGGCAGCTGGCACACCGCACGCAGCAGGAGTCAGTACACACTCATCACACGAACACGGACTTTGTGGCTGAATTCACGGGTGTCAGAGCCACAGAAATACGTCCTGTTAGGAAGGTGTTTATTAGGAGGAAACGATAGCAGATAAAGCATCTGAGGGGCCGAACGCCCGCACATACCTGGCTAAGGCAGCAATGTTCCCGAAGGTGTAAAACACGGCGAAAAGCTTGATGCCCCCGGGAAGCCACAGCAGGCCAGTGCCCTGCGTGAAGACGGAGAGTTACTGAAGTTCCCACGGTAACGGCGTCACGTGAAACGTGCTACCAGAGTAGTGACAGAAACGTGGGGCAGTATGAGTTTAAGTATAAATGCGCTCGATACAGTCCCCACGTCACTTTTAAAAGTTAATTTCAAGGTTACTTGCTAATTTGAATCTTAAGTCTATCACAAGTACAGATAACTGAGCCTTCGCACAACTTCCTTTATACATACATGTGGGTAAATCTCCGTCTACTTAACCGCCTCTTAAATGGTGAGTTAGAAAAGGTAACTAACATCTAAATTACGGACTCTTTCTCACTCTTTCTGAAAAAGGTCTCAAACATCTTCTTCAGCTGCTTGAAGGGCCCCAAGCAGCTTTTTTTTTTAGCCCCCTGCTAGCTGCTACCAATCAGAAAGCATGTGCTGTGGGCGACAAACGGGGGCTGAGGGGCGTCAGTCATTAGACTTTAAGGAAATAATAATCCACAGCCCCTCAACATTAACCTCTATATCTCTGCACTGATCTCTGCCTTTCTGCAAGCGACTGGCTAGGTCCCATCACAGTCTCAGAGCATCCAGTAAAGCAGGCTGCTCGCTGCGCTCCCCAGCCCCACGCAGACATGACCACGCAACCCCAGACCACACTCACGAGGATGGAGAAGAAGATGCCGCTCAGGAAGCAGACGGCGAACCACTTCAATCTGGTGCTGAAGCTCAGCGAGGAGGCGTCCAGGACCTGGGAGGAGGAGGGGATCAGAGCATGCGCCTGGGCCACCACACACCCCCAGTCCTTTACACGGAATCCAGGGCCAGGTTCCCTGCAGCCCAGTGTGGTGTCTGACGGTGCAAACTGCAGTGTCGTTTAACGTTAGGGTCCCGTAGCCGTTAGGGAAGCACGAAGGTGGTCTGGGACCGCGTGGCCCTGAGGAACCACTGGCATCTGGGCAGGTGTGCACACAGGATGTGCTCATGTCAGAGACAGTACATCCCTCTGATACGGACAGAAGGACAGAAGGCATAAGGTCCGTGATAAAATACTGGGCGACTGAAAGAGCAGAGGACAGGAGCAAGGAGACGGCACACTGCTGACAGATGTCGAGGCTGGGCCGTGGGCATCTGGGCTCACACGGCCTCCCAGCGTCCGTCTAGGTCGCTGAGACGAGGTGCCCTGCGGGCAGTGAGGGGCTGGAGAGGGCGGCCTTCTGGAACCAGCTCCCACCAGCGGCTCACAGCCCGGAGGCTGGGGGCAGAGTGGGTTCAGCTGCTGGGGGCACACCCGCCTGACGATGGGGACCTGGGCAGCCAGCAGCAGTGTCTGCCATTAGACACACCTGGCTGACAACCTCCACTGCAAAGAGTTCATTGCAACAGCTCCGGAGAGCCGGGGGGTCTCCCCAACCAGCATTAAAACCATTTGTGAGCAGTAATTTATTCTAGAGCAGCGTCGCCAGCTGGTGGTCCATGAGGTCCGAACGTTGGCGACCGCTGCTCTAGAGCAGCCACATTCCTGCTCGTCGTGCAAGTGCTAACCGCCCGCGGGGAAAGCAGCGCAGGCGGCATGCGGTGACGGTGAGCGGGCGCCTCGGGTCACCGCGGGCACTAGTGAGACTCAGCTTCCCGAGAAGCGGGGACAGTACAACAGCTCCAAGAAACCAGACATACACATAAGCGTTTACACACCAAAACTTAACTTTCTAACTTACATTGCAGTGTATACTTAAAAACAAGACTGCTTATAATGTACTTCAAGAATAATGAAGTAAAAACAGAAAGTTTTACATGCAAAAGCTCAAAATACCTTTGGCTACATCCTTACCTGAGTCCATTAATCTGTGAGTCCTTACGTAGCATGCAAAGTAGATAAAAATAACTGAATAAGGATTTTGTCAAAGTAACACCCATCACTTTTCACCCACTTTATTTTGTTGTGAATCCTCACCCGAGGATATCTTTCCAGTGATTTTTAGGGAGAGAGGGAGGGAGAGGGAAAGACATAGAGAAGCATCAATGTGAGAGAAACACATTGATCGGTTGCCTCCTGCACGAGCCCTGACCAGGGTCCAGGCCAGGGAGGAGCCTGTAACCAAGGTACGTGCCTTTGATGGAATCGAACCCGAGACCCTTTCGTCCACAGGCCGATGTTCTATCCATGGAGCCAAACCAGGTAGGGCACTTTTTAACCCACTTTAAATCTTTTTTTAAATGTTTGTTTAATTCAGACATTCTTGTTTCCAGCAATGTCATCTGCTTATAGCAAAATTGGTCCCTGGATTTTAAACAAAGAATGAACTTGCCTATAAACCATCTGAATTTCATTCTTTCTGATCCAGAAGAATACCATCAAGTATATTTTAACCACACGGGGACTAAATGCACGGAAACCCTGAAGGCTGCACCTGGCATGGTTTACGCCCCACTGGTTCCTACCGACACGGGAGGATCCTAAGTAAGAATGACTTGTAAACGCCAGTGAGTCCACAATGACGTGAGAAGGCGTAACAAGAGGAGAAAAGGCGTCATTTTTACTTCCTTCCAAGTCTAGACCACCCGCTGTGGTGAGGTCAGTGCCAGCCTGCCACCGCCCTCACTCCTCTCACAGGCTCAGCTGTGCCTGCAGGTGTAGGTGTGCTCCCTTCCCCGTCTCCCTGCGATGCAGGGAGCAGGCAGGTAGACCCACAGGAGCAGAGCGGAAGGACAGGCCCAGAGGTCACCCA